GTGTGTCCCTCTCACCTTCATGTACTTGTTGAACACAGTCTGGATCTCCTCATTGATGCTAGGCTGCAGCACAGCTCGGAGAAGGTCCATGGAGATGGCAGGATCTGTGAAACTGCATTCAGGAAGGAGACAGTCAGCGGACATGTCCCAAACACATCCTTTCTTAGTCTGCCTGGCCAATTATTGACAAAGGATCTTTTAATGACAATAATAGATAGCTTTTACTGAAAATTAGCTGTGTGCCTAGGTTCTCTGTAAACCACATGGATGCATGCCTTTATTTCATTCTTATAATTCTATGAATGAGTATTATTCTAAAAATGTTATGAAATACTGAATTAATACACAGAAAAGTCTATACACTTTAACATGTAGTGTTAGTGATCATCCGTTTAATTACTATCTAGGTCAAGAAATATAATCAGCATTTCAAAGGCCCATCTTGTGCTCTCTCCTTTCTCTTTTATGATTTATTTAATAATAATAATTATCAATTATTTGTTATTATTCTATTACCACAGGGTAATAGTACCCTGTGAATATTATTAGCCACACTTAAAAAAAAAATGTTTTTATTGATTTTTTTAGAGAGTGAGCTAGAAACAGATGTGAGAGAGATACACGGATGGGCTGTTTCCTGAACGCCCCCTACTGGGGATCGAAAAACAGGCATGTACCCTGACGGAGAATGAACTGGGACCTCTCAGTCCATGGGATGACACTCAATTCACTGAGCCAGCTGGCTGGGCTGGCCACACTTTTTTAAAATCCTCACCCGAGGATATACTTTTCCATTTATCTTTAGATGGGGAGGGAGGGAGGAAAGGAGAGAGAAAGAGAGAAACATAGATGTGAGAAAGAAACATAGAGAAAGAGAGAAACATTGATTGGTTGCTTCCCGCAAGACCCCGACCAGGGCTGGGGGCTGAACTGTAAGAGAGGTATGTGCTCTTGACCGGGATTGAACCCACGACTATTTGGTCCTCCGGCCGATGCTCTAACTGGGTCCACACTCTAACCGCTGAGCCAAACAAGCCAGGGCTGGCCACACTTTTTTAACCTTCATATTATTCTGCCTCTTTAGAGCCCTCAAAAACAGAGCTGGAGAGTGTTAGGGATCTCAGGCATTGTTGACTCTACCTGTCCCCCTCACTTTGTATTTGAGTTCAGAGAGGGAAGTGACTTGCTCAAGGTCACAGAGTCACATAATCTGAGTCTCCTCTTATCTAGTCCTGTGCCCGACCGTCTCTTCTCAGCCTTCTACAACTAGGACCCCAAAGCTGCCTTCCATGACAGTGCCTGGGAGGTGAGTGCCACCCAGAGTCAGCCTTACCTCGTTGTCATCTGTGAGCGGCGGCCCCTTCGCTGCACCTGCCGGTGCTTTATCATTATGTTCCAAGGGTTCTGTGGGGATCAAGGGAGCAGATGTCACCGAATCTGTGACACTGGGGTGAAGGTGGAGAGTGGGTATGAAGTTAAACCTAAACAGCTCTGCTTCTCGGTGCTTTAACCACTTCTCCCACCTTGGGGTCGGGAGGAAGGCAGTGACTGGAAGGCCCGCCAGGGACGAGAAACTCAGGGAGAGCTTCCTGCCTCAAAAATCTCGGCCCCACTTTTTCAGGAACGGCTGGAGCCAGGGAACCCGTGTTTACCGAGGGCCTACTCTGATGGCAGATGATGTGCTGGGCGCTTTACCCGCATTCACATCCCATCCCCACTAATCATCTCCGTTTTTATAAACGAGAAAACTGGAACTCGGAGTTGGCAGGACTGGCCCACGTCACCTAGTGAGGAGGGCGGCACCGGAATTTGAATCCAGGTCGTCGGACTGCGAAAAACACCAACCCCTCGGCAGCTCCAGCCACCGCGTTCTCTCGCCCGCGGGCTGGGGTCCCAGGAACCCGAGGCCCTGCCGGCCCGAGCCCAGGCCCAGCCCGGCCTCCCTGGGGACACTCTTACCGTGAGAACCAGCTGCCCCGCTGCGCCCGCGTCCCCTTGCTCTGGGCCGCCCCGCTCTGCCCCGCCGGGTCCCCGCGGCTGCTCGGCGTCGCCAGTCGCTCCCATGGCGCCCCCGACTCTCACAACTCCAGCGGGACTCTGCCAATGGGCCGGAAAGTGGCCCCGTGACGTCATTGGAACGCGCGGCCGCCTGCTCGAAAGCGCGACTCGGAGAGCGGCGGAGTTACCATGGGAACCAACTGCCGCGTCTCTCCCGGGACAGGGACGCTTAGAGATCGCGTGCGGTGGGCGGGGCTTCCTCCCGGGAGGGATGGCGCTGCCGGTGAGGACAGCGTTTGTTCAGTCGCCAGTCGTTCTCCGTCTGAAGTGCGGGGCAGAGGGAAAGGAGCAGGTTGCCAGGGCTCGGGCTTGGGGGACGTAGGGGAGCGTTTCGTACAGCGGCGCTTGCACTTCTTTGAACACTGTAGATTTTAATTTGCCCGGTACTGAGCCCCGGAATTGGAGTGGCCTAACGCGGGAACCCGGAAACCCAACAACCGGAGGCCCATGCCATCCCTAGCACTCACTCAGCGGGTCTTTTCAGGCCTCGATCCCAGGGGCTGCTTCTCGGGTCTGACGGCATCAGAACGAAGGTTGGGATTTGGACCGAGGATTCCTCCAGCCTCAGGGGGAATTTGATCCTTGCTCCAGTGGCCATCCCTCTATTTCCCCAGGTTTGTCATCATTGCCCAGGGGTGCTGTGTATTGTGCATTACAGCGTTGGATCACCATCGTCACGTGTGTCCCTTGGTAGTGCCGGGAATTTCCTCACACACCAGCAACCAATCATTTTTCTTCTTGTCAGAAGCCTTCCTTGGGGACTATTGTGAGAGGGAAGACATTGGGGCTGGGTCTAGGCCAGTCTCCTAGTCCTGCCTTTCTCCCAGGTGTTACTCTGACCTGACCTGAGCTCTCATCTCAACTCTCTGAACTTTTCTCCCCAGACTGGTGATTCTGGGATGGGCGGGGATGCAGAGGTTTAACAGCTATGGAGTTCCCCAGAACTCTCCTTAACTCTGCCTTAGAGGTGAGATGGCCCTGAATTGGGGGTCGATTTATGGGTGGTAGAGAAAGTTACTTTTTGCAGGTCATAATATAAGGTAGTAGAAAGTGCATGTTTTTAACCCCCCCCCCCCATTTTGTTCAGATAGAGTGGGAGGGAGAGAGAGAGAGAGAAACATCGATGTGAAAGGGACACATCGAGTGGTTGCCGCCTGCATAACCCAACCAGGGCTGGGGACAAACTGCAACTGAGGTACGTGCCCTTAGCGGGAACCAAACCCGGGTCTCTCTGGACCTCAGGCCGATGCTCTAACGGCTGAGCCAAACCGGCCAAGGCAGTGCGTGTTTTTTTAAAAATTGATTTTTTGAGAGAGGAAGAGGGAGAGAGAGAGAGATGTGAGAGAAACACCGATCCGCAGGCACCCCAACTGGGAATCTAACCCAAAATTTGGGTATGTGCCCTGACCAGGAATTGAACCCGCCACCTTCTGGTGTACAGACGATGCTCCAACCAACTGAGTCAGAGGCCAGGGCTGCATGAATTTTGCAGTTAGAAAAATCTGAGTTCAAATCCAGTGTGATAATGGTGATTAAGAACTGTGGAATTGGACTGCCTGTCTTTGTTTTTTTTTTTTTATCCTCACCCGGGGATATTTTTCCATTTTTTGTACAGATAGAGTGGGAGGGAGAGAAAGAGGAAGGGAGAGAGAGAGAGAAACATCGACGTGAAGGGACACATCGAGTGGCTGCCACCCGCACGACCAACCAGGGCCGGGGACAAACTGCAACCGAAGTACATGCCCTTAGCGGGAACCGAACCCGGGTCTCTCTGTACCGCAGGCCGACGCTTTAACCGCTGAGCCAAACTGGCCAGGGCCTGTCTTTGTTTTTTCATTTACTAGCTGTGTGACCCACGTTTCTTTCTGCACCTCAGTTTCCCCATCTGTAGAATGGGGATAATAGTAACAAACTCATAAGATTGCAGTGAGAATTAAGTGAGTTAATTCATGTAAAGTGCTTAAGACTGTAGCACAAGTAAACCCTCAAACAGCGCTATCTATCATTACTATTACATTCCAGCAGCCACCACTTACTAGCTTTATGACCTTGGGCAATTGTTATCAGCCCCTCTGAACCACTTTTCTTACCTCTGCAAGACTATCATGAGGATTAAAATTAATAATGTATATAAGGCACATAATAGCTCATCAGTATCTGTGTTCCAATATCAGCCTTAAAACAAAAAGGCAACTTCCTGGCACCAAATTCTTTGGCACTGTTAAGGAGTTTTTAACCTTGAGTCTTGAATATTCCCTGCCCTTAAACCTCACTGGGCTAAGTAGTGCCAGTGGACACTATTAGGTGTCATGGCTGGCCAAAGTCATAAGCAGATAGATAAAGAAAAATGAAAAGAAATAGAGCAAGAAGAGATAAATAAAAGGCGTATATGTGGTCTAGACTACTTGAATCACAGTGAGTATTCTTTGGGGTTCTGCCAACTAACCTTCTACTGTCTAAGAATGGCCTGTGTGTGGGGGCCAGAGGGACCAAGATGTGTGTTTTGGTGCATTTGTATTACACTGAACACACTCAAATATGGCTTTTTTTTTGTAGCTTTTGTTCCATTCTCTGTTTTCTAGGTTGCCAGGATGAATAGAAACCACAGTGCATTTTATTAGCTTTGGTTATTTTCTTATTAAATAATGTCTGTGTGTCTTTCCAAGGCCCATTAGAGCTCTCTTTGATCCTGGCTCCAGTGGCCAACCCTCCATTTTCCCAGATTTGTCATCATTGTCCAGGGGTGTTGTGTATTGTGCATTACAGAATTTGATCACCACCATCACGTGTGCCCTTTGGCAGTTCCAGGAATTTTCCCACACACCAGCAACCAATCATTTTTCTTGTCAGGAGAAGCTGTCCTTGGGGACTATTGTGAAAGGGAAGACATTGGGGTTGGGTCTAGGTCAGTCTCCTAGTCCTGCCTTTCTCGCAGGTGATACTCTGGGCAAGGTGAACACCTCTGGCCTGAGCTGAGCTCTCTTCTCAACTTTCGGCATCATCATCATGTTGAGCTGCCTCTTCTTCCTGAAGGCACTTCTTACTCTTGGGTCCCTGACGTCCTGGGTGACTGCAGGGGAGCATGGTGAGCTATCATTTGGGGATCTCTGGCTAACAGTAACAGAAAGTGACTGCCTCCTCCCAGAGCGAAGGGCCTCGTTTGTGGAGATGGTCATCTCTGTAGGACAGGACTGGATGCATAGGTTTTTGGGACAGCCAGGGTAGGTTTCCTGGCTTTCTTTACCCTCTCTGGACAAGGAGATAGGACTTCCAGTCTGGCTTTTCCCTAGAGTTTCTTAAATGAGAACAGAATCACCCCAGCCTTTTTCTCTTTATCTGCAGAATGGCTGGTCCTTTAGTTAGTAGTAGTCGTGGTGTGTGTGTGTGTGTGTGTGTGTGTGTGTGTGTGTTTGGGGTGTTGTGTGGGTGGAGGGCAACGTGGTTGCAGAGATACTTAGATAAGAGTGTTTGGAGAGGCTGAGAGTTCTTGAAGTACAGTTGGCTTCCATTCCCATTTCTCGGGGCCTGGCCAGTGACCCCAACCTCGCGTGATACCTTTTGCAGTGAAAGAAGGAGAATGCCCTCCTGACAAGAACCCGTGCAAAGATCTGTGCCAGGGGGATGAATCGTGTCCGGCTGAGCAGAAGTGCTGTAGCACAGCCTGTGGTCGGGTCTGCCGAGCAGGCATTCCTCAGGGTACGTTGATATGAGGGCAAAATCCAAGTGTGCTTTCTGACCTTGCCTCTGGGCTAGATAGACACAGAGAGCTTCCTGCCTCCTGCATTGGCTCCTGAAATCTAGCTTGCCTAGAGCAGCTCTTCTTTGTCCTTTTGGGGTCTCTTTAATCACTCAGTGACCCCAATTCTTCGTCTTCTATCAGGAAAGAACATGTGACTGACTATCTCTGTCTTTTGCTTTGAACTTGGGTTCTTGTGAAGGCTGAGCTGTGAAGGGAAGCTGTTTAAGGTCGTGGTGAAAGGAGTAAACCCTAGAGCCTGGCAGACCTTCTTAAGCCTTAAATAATTGTTTAAAAAAAATATTTTTCCTTCATTGATTTGAGAGAGGGGAAGGGAGAGGGAGAGAGAGATAGAAACGTCAATGAGAGAGAACATCGACTGGCTGCCTCCTGCGCGCCTCCCACTGGGGATCGGGCCCACAACCAGAAATTGAACCGGCGGCCTCTTGGTGCACGGGTTGATGCTCAGTCCACTGAGCCACACTGGCTGGGCTTAACTAGTTTTTTTTTTTTTTTAAAAAAAGTGTTAAGTGTTTAAGGCTCAATTTCCTCATCTGTAAAATGGGGATAATTGTTTGTATTGCACAGAATTGTTGTGAGGATCAGATGAGAGGTTTCTGGCCCAAGATAAACTCAGTAAATGTCACAGTAAATGTGAGCTGTTATCTTCGTTGTTGCTTTAAGACCAGGGTGGAGAGTCCTAAACAAAGCTCTCTTCCTCTGGACTGATTTTCTGGACTGCCATGCCTATGGGTGTCACTGAGCACTATGATCTCTTTTTTTGTGGCTGTCTCCCCTTCTTCCACAGGGAGGAAAGGAGATTGTCCCAGGGTCGTTCAGAAACAGTCCTGCTTTAAAGGGTGCATCACTGATGAGACATGTCCAGGTGTAAAGAAATGCTGCTCATTTGGCTGCAGAAAGAGCTGTGTCGTCCCCATCTCTGAACAGAGGCTGGGTAAGAGACTCCGCCATACTCCATGCTATGCTTGGCATCTCGTTTCTCTCTCAGATTTGCACACACCATCTTGTTGGTTTTTCTTTACTCTGAACAGCAATAAAGTGCCTCCTATATCCTGAGATCTTTTCTAAGAAAGGATCCACGCAGGGTACCCAAGCCATGATGGTGTGTGGGGTGTGGCCTAGGGAAATCTTGGCATATCCGCATTTGCAGGCAGATTTGAAAGCTGTTGGGTAATTTCCCATTCCTGTTGTCAGTTGCAGTATTCGCTATGGAAATGTTAGCTTGAGATTCTGCAAAGAGGTAGCAAAAGGATCTTGCTACCTGTTCAAGGGGGCACACACTTCCCCACTCGCTTGCTTCTGACTCTCGGTGTCTCCTCTGTCTCTCTCCTGCTGAAAACAGGTCCTATTTTATTCTGATTCTGGTAAAGAGGTGTTTGAGAGGGATTTCTTCTTCCTCTTACAGGGTCCATTTATACGTCATTTCTTTCTTTTTTTTTTTAATCTTCACCTGAGGACATTTTTTGTTAAGATAGAGTGGGAGGAAGAGAGAGAGAGAGAGAAACATCAACGTGAAAGGGACACATCGAGTGGCTGTCACGCACACGACCCAACCAGGGCCGGGGACAAACTGCAACCGAGGTCCGTGCCCTTAGTGGGAACCGAACCTGGGTCTCTCTGGACCGCAGGCCGACGCTCTAACTGCTGAGCCAAACTGGCCAGGACTCTACATCATTTCTTTAACAAATATTTATTGAGTGTTTACTATTTGCCGGATCCAGTGATGGGTTCCGGGGATATTGTGGGGAACAAGGCAGAGCAGCCCCTGCCTTCATGGAGCTCATCGCCGGTGGGGAGAAAGAGGCTCAGCAGATAAGCATGCAGATACAGACATAATTTCAAACCTGCCAAGGACACGGAGGAAAGTGAAAGTGCTGAGAGAGAATAACGGGGTGCTCACTTTCGACTGGGTGGTCAAGGAAGGCCTGTCTGAGGTAGTGACATTTAACCTGCCACCTGGAGTTGAAGTTAGCCAGGTCAAGGGTGTGATGAATATTCCAGGACGAGAGAAGCCAGTGCAGAAGTCTGCAGGCTGGGAAGGAGCTTGCACACTTGAGAAACAGAAAGAAAGCTGCTGTGGTTAGCCCTGGCCGGTGTGGCTCAGCGGTTAGAGCGTTGGCCCGCAGACCAAGGAGTCTCGAGTTTCATTCGGGTCAAGGTTGCGGTTCGTCCCGGCCCTGGTCAGGTCATGCGGGAGAAAACCGGTCAATGTGTCTCTCTCACATCGATGTCTCTCTCTCTCTCTCTCTCTCTCTCTCCCCCTCCCTCCTGATGGGGTGCAGTGAGACTAGGGAGGTGGCAGTGGGGTGAAGAAAGGTAGCACAGTTGAGAGAATTCGGAGGTAGAAATAACAAAACTGTCTTCTCTATTTCTTGGCTCCTCCCCATTCCCTTGTGAGGCCCCCAAAAAGCATTAGACATTGATGATATGTCTCCATGGCTGGTCCTTTCTCATTTCCCTTTGTTTCAGATCGTCATGGCTACTTTTGCTTGCTTGTGCTTCCAAATATATTTTATTATATTGTCAATTCTCCCCAACCTCCTATGCTGAGGCTTCTTTTACTGGAGAGGTGTTAGATATATACCTTAACTTAAGCAGAACCAGCGATTTTACAATGTTGGATCATATGTCTTCCCATTTTCCAAGTGTATTTGGTGTATTTCAAGGTGTTTTCTAGTTTTAAAGTATTTCTTGATAAGTCAATGCCTAGAGCCTGAGGATGTGGCTCAGTGGATTGAGCATCTTCCTATGGACTGAGAGGTCCTGGTTCGATTCCCAGTCAGGGCACAGGCCTGGGTTTCGGGCTTGATCCCCAGTAGGGGATGTGCAGGAGGCAGCCCATTGATGTTTCTCTCTCACATCAATGTTTCTAGCTCTCTCTTCCTCCCTCTCTCTCTAAAAAATCAATAAAAACATATTTTATAAAGTTAATGCCTAGATTATTTTATTACCTTCTTTGCTATCTCAACTGGGATATTTCATTCTGTTTTCTAAAGGAATCGGAACCATCCGAGTACACATAGCAGCATATTACAATGAAAAAGCGTAGCTTTTGGTTGTCAGAGATCTGGGTTCAAGCCTGAGGCTTACCAGTTACTGGCCAGTGGGCCCCTGGCCAAGTCTCTTCTGCTTCTCTGAGCCTCAGTTCCCTTTGCTGTAAAATGGAAAGAATAGACCTTGAAGGTTGTTGTAATGATTCAAAGGATATAAAGTATTTGACCCTCACTACATGGTAGTTCTCTTCCTTTTGCCTCTTAAGGTGGGCTTCATCAGGGTACACCTTCTAACCAGCCCGTTTTATCAAGAACCAGGATTATTTTCTCCTCCCCTGATCATTTCTTCCCTGAGACCCTGACACTTCACAACATGTGACGACCTCTCCTTCCAGCCAGACCTCCCCGGGTAGCAGGCCCCTTCCCCGCACCCAGTGGCGTTGCTGCGCCTGGCTCAGCCTGCGCTCGGGCAGCCTGCCCGTAAGAGAGAATAGAGGGTTGTACTCCTTGCCAGGACTCTTGAGGCCCAGCTCTGGAACCAGAGCCTGGGAATCTGTCTCAGGCAGGTCACTCACTGCCAGCTGGTAGGACCTGGTACAATCTGCCCAGTGTTTGAAGCTCATGGCAGCATTGTGGGGGCTAAGGATGAGGCTGGCACCCTGGCAAGTTACTTTTGTGAGCAGCTCTGGGTCCTGGCCAGCCCAGATGGGGCTTCCTCTTTGCTTGGAGCTAGCAGGCTAGAATAGTGACCTTCCAGAGCCCTCTGGCTGAGTGGGGTTCCTAGTCCGGTGAAAGGCGATATTGGCTATTGTGTTGGTTAACTACTTTTCTACAGTTCCGGTCCTAGAGGAGGGCTGGACACTCACTCAGTGGGGCTGGTTGCAACACTCGGCTCCATAGGAAGCTCTCCTTTCTGGGCTACGAACAACTCCTGCTTTTCCTGAGCTCTTATTACTAGAGGTTTACCATAACCTATGCCACTCTGTCTGGTAGGGTGGTGGGACCATCAGGTTGCCTAGGGCACAGGGCAGATGCTAGGACCTGCTCCCATGAGGCAGTTCTGGTCTGAGCCTGAGTCTGAATCCTAGCGCCTCTGCTTGCTTGCTGTGTGGCCTTGGGCAAGTCCTTTCATCTCTGAACGACTTTTGTCATCTGTAAATGATGATAAAGACATCTACCTCATAGAATGATAATGCAATGTCATAGTTGGTTTGAGCTGCTATAACAGAATACCATGGATGGGGTGGCTTATAAACAACAAATTTGTTTCACAATTCTGGAAGCTGGGAAGTCCAAGGTCAAGGTGCAGGCAGACTTAGTGTGCGGTGGGGGCCTGCTTCCTGGTTCATAGACTGACGTCTCTTTGCTGTGGCTCACGTAGTGAGAGGGCAGTAAGGGCTCACATGTTTATGAGGGCTCCACTGTCCTGACCTGGCCACCTCCCAAAGGCCCCATTTCCAGATACCCTCATAGTGGGGATTAAGTTTCAACATACGAATTTTGGGGGGACATAAAACGTCTTGGAATTTTACTTTTCTACCAGCAACTGTCCTCATCCCCGGGACCAGCATAGAGACCAAAGCTGTACTGTCTTCCAGTACAGAGTGCTCCGGGTGCTGGTCACTTCAGGGCCAAGCTCAGCAACCTGGTGAAATCTGGGAAGTGAGCTACCCCAGGCCCCCCTTTCTAGGGCTCAGGGTGGAACCCCATGAGAAGTCTATGCTGCTGGGTTTCTTCCCACCAGTGCGATTTAACTATGGGACAAAAGGCTTTGTTCTTTGTTAAATGGACTTTAGAGTTTGCTAAGCAGGCGGGAGATGGTGGAGAGGTACACCTGGTGGTTATAGTGACCATCTTTTCTGAATAAAATGTCAAGACACGTGGTTTTGATGTGATCTGACAACGGCATAGAATATTTGAAACAGGAGCTGTACGGGAAAATCCTAGGTTGCGGGGTGATTCTATCCCCATTGTTTAGCTACCCATGTTCTCTTGGAGGCCAACGCTTGCTTTTTCCATCACAGAGACTTCCTGGAACCAGCCATATGCAATTGTACTCACATGTCCTTACTCAGAGGCACTGAGCCAGTCCTGCCTTGGTTTTCTGCAAAGCCTTTAATTGCCCGTCACTTTTTTCCATTAAAAAAAAAACAACAAACTTGAAATAAACATGGAGATAAATGAGTCATGGCGAGTTGATTTGGTTTGGATGTGACTTCTTTGGGTGTGGCTGCCCCCAGGACCTGGCTCCGTGCCTGCGTGCTCCCAGGGTGGGGCAGCCCAGAGAGTGCTTCACAGCCAACCCAGAGGCTGGGCTTTGTCCTGCTTTGGCGCTGGGCACGCCCCTTCTCTTCTCTGAGTTTCATGATCTCATAGAGGCAGTGAAGTGTGTATGCACGGCAGAAAGTTAACCAAATAGGGGTTCACTTTTCTTGCATAACAAGAAGTCCTGAAGTAGGTTCAAGGGCTGGGGTGGCAGCTCCATGATGCTAACAAGGATGAGGCTCTTTCTCATTCTCTTTGGAACCCTTGACTTTCTCCTCCTACTAGTCGCCTCCTGGTTGAAAGAAGGCTGCTGTACCTCCCTGTCTGTCTCTGTCTTTGCACTGGAAGAAGACAGAACTGAGAGGCAATTGGAAGGGTGTGGTCCTTACATCAGGAGTGTGAAAGTTGGCCCAGCTGTCTTCTTTTGTGGCCGCCCCTAGTTACCGGGAAATATGGGGAAGCAAATCATTTTAGCTGGCTGGGCTCATTGCTTCTCAGAACAAAGCCAGGGTTCTGTTAACCAGTGTTTCGGTTATCTATTGCTGCATGCAAACCACCCCCAAACTTAGTGTGGGTTAGCAGGGCAGTTCTTTTTTTTTTTTTTTTTTTTTTTAATCCTCACCCCAGGACATTTTTCCATTTTTTGTACAGATAGAGTGGGAGGGAGAGAGAGGAAGAGACAGAGAGAGAGAAACATCGATGTGAAAGGGACACATCGAGTGGCTGCCACCGCACGACCAACCAGGGCCGGGGACAAACTGCAACCAAAGTACGTGCCCTTAGCGGGAACCGAACCCGGGTCTCTCCGGACCGCAGGCCAGCGCTCTAACCGCTGAGCCAAACCGGCCAGGGCAGCAGGGCAGTTCTTACACCCACATGGCGCCACTGAGGTCATTCATACAGCCGCATGTGGCTGGGGGCTCACTGGGGAGCTCAAGTGTGGCTGGTGTGCCCAGGACGCCTCTCCGCATCCAGGCTCTGCATGGGCATCTCATGGCTCTGCAGTCTATCTCGCCCAAGCTGCTCACAGCACGGTGGCTGATTTCCAAGAGTGAGTTCTAAGAGGACAAGCCTCACTGTGCAAGTGCTTACCAAGCCTTTGCTTGCATGGTCACACTTGCTGAAGTCCTGTTGGTCAAAGCAAGTCACATGGTCAAGCCCAGAGACAATCTGGGAGGGGGCTATACAAGGGCGTGAATCCCAGGAGGTGAGGTTCATGGGGGGCCACCAGTGTAGATGTCTACTACAGTCGGAAAGGCGTTAGACCTCAACACTGTTTTTCTTTCTTTTTAAAAATATGTTTTTATTGATTTTTTAGAGACAGAGGAAGGGAGAGAGAGATAGAAACATCAATGTGAGAGAGAAGCATTGATTGGCTGCCTCCTGCACGCCCCCTACTGGGGATTGAGCCCTCGACCTGGGCATGTGCCCTGACCAGGAATGGAACCGGAACCTCTCAGTCCATGGGACGATGCTCAATCCACTGAGCCACACTGGCCGGGCTCAACACTGTTTTTCAATCTGCAAGTCTTGAAATGAGTTTTGTAGTTTATGGCCTGAATTAAGGAAATGAGAAATAGAGTATATATATATAAAGTATCAGCATTGCATATAAATGAATGCACCTAGATATGTACATTTTATTTTATTTTATTTTTTAAATCTTTATTGTTGAATGTAGAATGTATTACAGAAGTTCTTCATTTTTCTCCCATTGACCCCCTCCTCCCCCCTCCCGTCCCCCTCCCACCTTTTCCCACACTATTGTCTGTGTCCATTGGTTATGCATATAAGTTCTTTGGTTTATTTCTTCCCACTCCCCAACCCCTTTCCCTTTGAAGTTTGTCAGTCTAGCAATGAATTTGTACTTCTTAATCCCTTCACCTTTTTCACCCATTCCCCCAACCCTCCTCCCATCTGGCAACCAACAAAATGTTCTCTGTATCTATGAGAATGTTTCTGTTCTACCTGTTCATTTTGTTTGTAGATTCCATTGTCGATAGATATGTATTCATTGCCATTTTGTTTGTTCATATATTTTATCTTTTTCTTCAAAAAGACCCTTCATCATTTCATATAATAACGGTTTGGTGGTGATGAACTCCTTTAACTTTTTCTTGTCTGGGAAACTATATGGCCATCGATTCTAAATGACAGTTTTGCAGGATAGAGTAATCTTGGTTGTAGGTTCTTGCTTTTCATCACTCTGAATATTTCTTGCCACTCCCTTCTGGCCTGCAAAGTTTCTTTTGAGAAATCAGCTGACAGCCTTATGGGAACTCCCTTGTAGGTAACTAGCTGCCTTTCTCTTGCTGCTTTTAAGATTCTCTCTTTGTCTTGAACCTTTTGCATTTTGATGATGATGTGTCTTGGTGTGGACCTCTTGGGGTTCATCTTATTTGGGACTCTCTGTGCTTCTTGGACTTGTATGTCTGTTTCCTTCACCAAGTTAGGAAAGTTTTCTGCCATTATTGTTTCAAACAGGTTTTCAATTTCTTGTTCTTGCTTTTCTCCTTCCGGCACCCCCAAGATGCGAATGTTGGCACGCTTGAAGTTGTCCCAGAGGCTCCTTACACTGTCCTCATATTTTTGGATTCTTTTTTCTTTTTGCTGTTCTGATTGGGCGTTTTTTGCTTCCTTATATTCCAAATCGATGGTTTGCTTCTTGGATTTACGTACTCTACTATTGAATCTGTGTAAATTATTGTTTATTTCAGTTAATGCCTCCTTCATTTCTGACTGTGCATCCATCATTTCTGACTGGTCCTTTATTATGCTCTTGAGGCCCTCACTAAGTTTGCTGAGGTTCTCACTAAGTTCATTGAGCATCCTTATAAGCAGTGTTTTGAACTCAGCATCTGTTAGGTTGCTTATCTCCATTTCGCTTAGTTCTTTTCTTGGGGTTTTGTTCTGTTCTTTCATTTGGGACATGTTTCTTTGTCTCCTCATTTTGGCTGCCTCTCTGTGTTTGTTTCTGTGTATTACTTAACGAGAGGTATGGGGCTATCTGAGACCAGATGCTGCTTGTTTGAAAGAATTTAGGAAAAACCTGAAGCAGGATCCAAGACAGGCCAATCCTATGGTTAAGCAACTGGCAACAGCTTGGGTGGGCCTGAAAGTTGGATGGGGCGGGGCCTCAGGGAGTCACCAGGGCGGGGCTACCAGTGTGAGCCAGGTTGCTGGAGGCCCAGATATGGCTTCTGTCTGCCGCCCCAGGGAAAAGCTCACTGAAGGAACAAAGGCCTCTGACAGCACGTCTGTCCTGGAGAAAGCCCCCTCTCCAGCCCTCGCTCCAGCTCAGTTCTTCCCTGTATGTCTCTGGCGCCCCTCGAGCTGTCTCCCCTCCAAGCTTAGAGGGTGAGAGTCCGAGGGAGAGAGTCCGATAAGGAGCTGCCTGGGGCTCCAGCCGCCTCAGCCTCCCTGAGCCTCAGTTCCCGCTGGTTTTTCCAGCCAGAAGTTATGGGGACTCTCTTCCTGGCACTGGAACCCTGAGCGGGGCGCCTGGTGTGGGAGGGGGACCCCTCAGTCCTCAGGGAGGACCTTCCCAGCCGAGGTGTCCTCCTGATTTTTATCCGCCACACGTGGGTGTGGGACCAGCCCGTCCCCTCCGCCCTCCTACCAGTCTGGATGTGGCTGCTGCTTTAATTCCGTAGCTGTAGGACTTCCATTCAGCTGGATTTCAGGTGGTTTTGAATGACGGTTGTTCTGTAGTTTAGTTGTAACTTTGATGTGGTTGTGGGAGGACGCGAGACCGCGGCTACCTACCAGCCATCTTGACCGGAAGTCCTAGATATGTACATTTTAAACATACATCCGTATTAACATACATGTGGGATACTGTGAATAATGTATTTTGTACTCAAGAGTCACAGTAAAAATAGCTGGAGACCTGGTCAGTTTGCCTCAGCAGTTAGAGCCTCGACCTGCAGACCAAAGAGTCACGGGTTTGATTCTGGTCAAAGGTACGTACCTAGGTTGCAGTTTGATCACGGGCCCTGATTGGGGTCCTGCAGGAGGTGTCTCTCTCACACATCAATGTTTTTCTTTCTCCCCTTTTCTCTCTTCCTCCCTCCCACTTTATCTGAAAACCAATGGGAAAATATCCTCGAGTGAGGATTAAAAAAATAATAAAAGCTGGAACCACTGGGCTAGAGCATCTCCGGGCCCCAATACTTTGATTCTATGGCAGAGTTTGGCGGTGAATGTCCTGCCGACCCCCTTCCATGCGAGGAGCTGTGTGATGGGGATGAGTCCTGTCCCCAGGGGCATAAATGCTGTAGCACTGGCTGTGGTCACACCTGCCGCGGAGACATTACTGGAGGTAAGTTGACATTTTGGGGACGAAATCCTTGACAGCTCCTTGAGTCCATGAGTCAGTTTGGGAGAGAGTCATCTGTGGCCTTCTTGTCTTTCCCTTTCTGGGAGGAGTCAGTTCTCATCCTTCCTGTCCTCCTGGGCCCCTCATCCCAAAGCAACCCTTCCTCCTAGGGCCAGGGGTCCTTGTTGGCGTTCAGAAGTAGGCGAAGGCAGGTGGGGTAGCAGGAAAAATGCCTAGGCTGGACGACAGGCAGTGTGACTGCTGGTCTTGCTTCTGCTGTGGATGTACTCTGTGACCTTGGGTAAGTCAACCCCTCTTTTTGAGCCAGTTTTTTCATCTGGAAAATGAAGACGTTGCCCAAGGTCATGATTTTCTGACCTAATTCTTAGCACAAAGTTTCCCCACCTCCAAAGTGAAGTCTCAGTTGGAAGCAACATATATGCAGCAGATAAAAGCATTCCCGATCTGATTTCTTTTTTGAACAAATACATATTTTTGAATACTCCTTTTGTGCTGGGCACCGTGGAACTCCACTTCAGAATCACTGGCCCGGAGGTTGTCTTTGGACAACATTTACATTCCTAGGCAATGGTCAAGGCTTGTGGACAGATTCTGATCCTTGTGAACCACATAACCTATCAGGGAAGGTAGACAAATGAGTGAATTATAATAAAGTCTGATGAAACGAGCCTAAAGCAGCACACACTTGGTCTAGGGTGGCAGAGAAGCCACCCTGAGGACGTGACACTATGAAGCCCAAGCATAGGGGAGAGGGCAGTGGTCTGGGGCCCTTGCTCCTTCTGCCCTCCACCCAGCCCCACTCCCAGGCCTATAGAGGGTCAAACTCTGAGGTACCTCTAGGGAACTCCCAGAAGGACACTACATATATATTTTTAAATTTTATTTTAGAGAGAGAGGAAGAGAGAGGGAGAGAGAGAGATAGAAACATCGATGAGCAAGAACATCTATTGGCCGCCTCCTGCATGCCCTCAAACTGGGGACTGGGCTCACAACCTGGGCATGTGCCCTGACCGGGAATCAAACTGGCGACCTCTTGGTGTATAGGTCAACGCTCAACTAGTGAGCCACACTGGCCAGGCAAGGACACTATTTGAAAAGTGTGGTCCAGCTTCTCTCTGGGGACTCTATAGATTCTCAGATCCTCCAGCTTCAAGGCTTCCCAGCTAGATCTTTGGTTCAGTGATGGCTTTGCTGGGATTCCCCAGGTCTGAGTTCTGGAGCCGACCGTCCTGTCTCTACCTGTGCCTGTTTCCCCACAGGGCGGGGCGGTGTTTGTCCAAACATTTTGGTGGGCCTGTGCATGGTCAGCTGCATGATGGATGAGAACTGTCGAGCCGGGGAAAAGTGCTGCAAGTCAGGCTGTGGCCGCTTCTGTGTCCCACCAGTTCTGCCGTCCCGGCTGGCCACGAACCCCAACTGGACCATCAGGTCTGATCCGAATTAGGTGAGTATAGTCCAGTGTCCTCAAAAACAATGGGCTTCACTGCTATAGGTGAAGCCATGGCTTAGGAGCTGGGTAGGGACTTGAAAAGGCCAAGGCCAAGTTTCTGCCCTGGAAAGTGTGGCTGGAGAGAAAGACCCTGTGTTCCAGAGCACATATCCCAGAACCTCACGCCTGGGCCTATAGGCTTTCAGACTGGGTGGGGCTCCTTGGGAAGGTCTTTCTGCTAGACGTAGGATTTGACCTGGGCCCTAAAGGTGAGGCAGACTGTGACAAAGGGAGGACAGCCCAGGGAACATGCTGGACAGGCAGTTTGGTGATTGTTAACAAAAGCACAGAGGGTGGAATGTATGTGCTGTGCTTGGGGAGCTGGGTTGGAGGTGGGGGGTGGGAGTAGGGAAAGGAACAGATAGGCTGCTGTTATAACAGGAGATACAAAGTTGACATCTGAATGATCGTCTTCAGTGCCAGTTTGGACTGGGTTGTCTAGGAAGCAGGGAGCCAATTACGGCCTCTGAGAGCGATACATGCCAGGTTCTCTCGGGTGGAGGGGAAACACACTGGGAAGCTGGAGCCAGGAGGACACAGTTGTGACTTGACGTTTCTTCTTCTCACAGCGACCCCGGTGCCCTAGTTGTCCTGATTTGTCCTGAGCTTCTTTGGTGACTCCACGGGGCTTGTCCTGGAAGCCAGGAGAGGATGACGTCCTGGGCTTGTGATACTCCAGGGGCTCTCATGCCCTCCTGCTCTGCTTCTGTTCCTGCCGCCGCCCTGAGCATAGGAAACAGCCCTGGGCTTGGGCAGCGGGCGTGTGGTGCTTCTCGTCTCCAATAAAGGCTGGTGCTGACCCTTTTGTCTGTGCTGCTTGGGGACCAGGATGTAGAAAGACAGCAGGGGGTCTGAGCAGGGCTGTGAGATTATGGCACTTGTCTGGGAAGGAGAGGTGACCCATTCTTTCTGAGAACACTGCAAATGGGCGCTGGTTGGGTGTGGCTGGGGGAGAGAGGGGTGGAAGATAAAACTTGGGGTGACTTGCCATAGATGTCACTATCAAACTTCAGTGTAGGGTAGTCAGGCCTCTTGTTGGGTCTGCTGACCTTTCTTTTTTTAAAAATATTTTTTATCCTCACCTGAGGACAATTATTTTGCATTTATCTTCAGATAGGAGGGAGAGAGGGGGAAGGAGAGACAGAGAAACATTGATGTGAGACACACACATTGGTTGCGACCCACACGACCCCAACCGGGGCGGGAGACAAACTGAAACCCAGGTACGTGACCTTAGTGGGAACTGAACCCGGGTCTCTCTGGTCTGCGGGCTGACGCTCTGACCGCTGAGCCGAACTGGCCAGGGCTGCTGACCTTTCTTTTATCAGAGCACGTGGGTTGGGGATGGAACTGGGCTGAGGGGCTACTTTACTATAGTCATGTGGATGTCCCTACCTTGGACCTCCCTCCTCGGGCCCAGCCCTCGCCCGCGGACAGGCAGGTTTGTTTCCTCCAGGTAGCGTTACTGTAGGGAGGGGATGTTCGCAGGTTCATGGGGCCAAGGTAATTTTTACAAAATAACATTTTTATGTATACAAAATGGATCATATTCTGTATCTTGGAAATATTCCCTGTCATCACATATGTTCTTTTAATAGAACTCCATGAAAAGAGCTAATTGAATGAGTCATCCGTTTTTCGACATTAGTATCCTTGTACCTGTGAATCTTGGCCGACTTTTGCAGGTACATCTGTGTACTGTACATTGTTAGTAGCAGCATTTTAGTTTTTAAAATAGAGCCTAGCAAGAAAGTAGGCCCTCAATAAGCATTTGTTGAATGAAAGGATGAATGTAATTCTCAAGTTATCTGTTAGGAATTTGTTGGGCTGCAAGTCATAGAAACCCAACCCACAGTGGCCTGGCCAGTAAAGACACAGACTTTTCTCACATCGAGTCTGGAGAGAAGCAGTGAGGCTGGTTCGGCAGCTCAGCCACAGCCCTGATGACCACACCCACTCCCCCCTTTTCCACCACCATCAGTGTTGGCTTTTGTCCTTGTGCCAGTCACCTTGTGGGTGGGGGATGGTTGTTGCGGCTGTAGAAGTCACAGCAGGAAGAGAATGTGTATAGAGGACAGTGGTGACAAGACTGCCTTAAATAGCCAAATACCTTGAAAAGTTATCTCAAATGATGCTCTTCTTTTAATGATGGAGGCCCTTTTCCCAGAAACTGCCCCTCCCAGACTTCCCTTCTTTCTTTAAATTTAATTTAATTTTTTTTATTCCTCACCTGAGGATATTTTTTTATTTATCATCAGATAGAGTGGGAGGGAGGAAGAAAGAGAGACAGAGAGCAACATCAATGTGATAGAGCCACATCGACTGGTTGCCTCCCGCACCACCCGACCAGGGCTGGGGATGAACCGCAACCAAGGTACCTGCCCTTGGCCGGGATCGAACCCACGACTCATTGGTCCACAGGCTGATACTCTAACCGCTGAGCCAAACCGGCCAGGTTGCAGACTTCCATTCCTGCCTCATTGGCCAGAACTGGTGCTGCAAGAGAAGCTGGGGAAACAAACAGGAGAGGATGCTCGGAGGCGGGGAGGTGATGAACTGTATGTGCCATACTGGGTCAAAGGACATGTGCATTAACATTTGGACAGAAATTGCTAAGTAGGCAGGGCTTTCATAACAAGGAGAAAAAAGGTATCAATGCTCACCTTGGATATTGCAAAAATGCTTAAGGGAGAAAGATGAAGTACAACTGAAAAAAATAATTCCCACCCCTGGTGTGTTTTTGTGCCCCCTTTTCTGATCGTTTTCACCCTGGAGTGTGAAATTCTGGCTCCCAGAGGGTTCAGAACATTCATCTCTTTGAGTAGAGTGGACGTACGCCGGCGCTGCCTGGCCTGGACCAGCTGGCCTGGGCGGCGCAGTGGCCTCCCGGAGATGCCCAGGGCCGCAGGCTCCAGGGACCTGGGCAGCACGGGGGTCAGTGGGGTAGCTTGCTGAACATTTTGGCAGAGTCCCCCTGCCATTGTTTTGCTTTTCATTTTATTGTTTATTTAAAAAATCAAACTAATACATGCATATAGTTTTTTTTTTATCCTCACCCGAGGATATTTTTCCATTTTTTGTACAGATAGAGTGGGAGGGAGAGAGAGGAAGGGAGAGAGAGAGAGAAACATCGACGTGAAGGGACACATCGAGTGGCTGCCACCCGCACGACCAACCAGGGCCGGGGACAAACTGCAACCGAAGTACGTCCCCTTAGCGGGAACCGAACCCGGGTCTCTCCGGACCGCAGGCCGACGCTCCAACCGCTGAGCCAAACTGGCCAGGGCCATGCACATAGTTTAAAAAATATCAGTAAAGAAGAGCTTTCAATGAAAAACAACGGTCTGGGGTTTTTAAAATACTGTAGGATGGTTTTCTGCTGGGGTGGGGAGCAGGAGTAGAGAGAGAGGTGTGAGCCCCAGGCAACTCAGGCTGAGCACCAGGAGAAGGGTCCTTTCTAGATCTTTCCTTCTCATCTAGGGCAGACTACTCCTGTCCACCTTGAAGCTGCAGACCTGCCTATAGCTAGCAAAGTCAAGAGAGAGAGAGAGAGAGAAAAGGACTGAACTGAATTTGGGATTTTGTTGGAGGCAGAGGTCAACAGTTGACAAGGGTGTTTAGTGAGGGCTCAAGACCTATTTGAAGTGGTGGGGGACTCAGATGCTCCTCCCTCCTACCTTGGATGGGCCAGGAGTTTTGAGTTGATTCTTTGCAGGGTGCTTTTGTTCTTGAGCCACCAGAGGGCAGCAGAAGTCTAAATCATAGACCATTTCCAAGAAAGAGAAGGAAAAACCATGCTCTAGAAGCCTAGTTACCTACTGATCATTGAATTCCTCCCAGCTTTTCCAAGCCACTTTGAGAAAAGGTTACATAGCTGTGTTTATACCCTAGACGCCTCAATTGCACTTAATAAATGAGGACCAAATATTATGCCCTCCCTTTTCATATGATGTGCAATGCTTCTACAGTTTTGTAACATTTACCTTGAGGACATTATTCATCATGTTGTATCAATGTATTTGTACAAAACCACAGAGCAAATTCTTTGAGGGGCTCAAGGTCAGGAAAAAGCTCCTCTCTCAACCATGAGCTGTATGAGAACGGGCAGACAAATCACTTCTTGGGCATCCCTTATGTTGCCAGGCCCTATGATAAGTACTTTTTGGAGCTGATGTTTTATTTTTGCCTTGGCCACCAGGAAGCCAAGAGCTTGTATTTTGGAGTGAGGCCTGGGTTTGAATTTAGACTCTTCTGCTGCTTATTAGCTCTGCGCAGAATGAATGAGGATAACATGATCACACTACCCACCTCACAGGATTTCAATATATAAACAAAGCACTTGGCACAGAACCTGACATAAAACACAAAGTCAACAGATGTTAGCTATTGTTATTCGGCTTTTCTGACGAAATTAATCACCTCCTGCTACCTGCTTTTATTACTTGTCTCTGCTCTTGGTTTAATGATTTTCAGTTTCCTATAGTCTGTTTTACAGTATTAAGTTCCTCAAATCCTGTTTGGAAGAAGGTGAGGTATATATAAGTGAGAGGTTAGTAGCAGTGGAATTCTTGGGCAGAAAGAAACATCTGGCCCTGGCTGGTTTGGCTCAGCGGTAGGGCGCCAGCCCGCGGACCAGTGAGTCCCAGGTTTGATCCCAGCCAAGGGCACATACTTCCGTTGCGGTTCGTCCGGCCCTGGTCAGGGTCGTGTGGGAGGCAACCAGTCGATGTGAGACACATTGATGTTTCTGTCTCTCTTCCTCTCTCCATCTCCCTCCCTCCCACTCTATCTGAACTAAAATGGAAAAATACTTTCGTGTGAGGATTAAAAAAACAAACAAAAAGAAACATCTAGAGCAGCACTCTTGAATAGAAATATAATGCAAGCCACATGTGTCATTTCAAATTTTCTAGTAGCCGCATTAGAAAAGTAGCAAGTTTGGTGCCTTCTCAAAACGTGAAACATGGCATTATCGTAGGACCCAGCAATTCCACCCTCAGGTGGTTGAAACAGGCGTCCGGATAAAGTCGTACACGATTGTTCATTGAATCACTATTTGGAATGGCCAAGAAGTGGAGTCTGGCCGGTGTGGCTCAGCGGTTGAGCATTGACCCATGCACCGGGAGGTCGTTGGTTCGATTCCCGGACAGGGCACATGCCCAGGTTGTGGGCCTGGTTCCCAGTGGGGGGCATGCAGGAGGCAGCCGATCGATGTTCTCTCTCATCGATGTTTCTGTCTCTTCTTCTCCCTTCCTCTCTCTCTAAAAATCAATAAAAGGAAAAAAAAAAAGAAGTGGAAGCAACCCAAATGTTTATCAACGGATAAATAGATAAACGAAACATAGCATATCCATCCAACGGAATATTATTTAGCCATGAAAGCAATGAAGTTGTGATCCATGCTACAACATGGTTGAATCTTGAAAACATTGTGCTAAGTGAAGGGACCCAGACACAAGAGGCTACCGAATGTGTGATTCCATGTACATGAAATATCTAGAACGGGCAAATCTGTACACGTTGCAGATGACACAGTGTAGAGACTTTGGATTGTCCTCTTCCTCTGAAGCATGTCGTATTTTCTCCTAGCAGGCAGTTAAATAATTGCTGGATCACCTTGAACTTGTGAAGATTTGGCTTTATGCTTTGTTAGGGCAGATCAGTTGGAATAACCTCCTAGTTCTAGGATGGATGCTTTAGCCCTGAGACATTGTTTTCATTCCTAAGTCATGGTTCTCCCAGGCTTTTGATGGAAAGCTGAGGTGTTTATCAAGCCCCTCTAACGTG